CTCACAGGACCTACGCCCCACGATAGCTTCCATTCAGGAGGTGACATCACCATCATCCAGCTCCCTTGTCAGTAAACTCACAGGACCTACTCCCCACGATAGCTTCCATTCAGGAGGTGACATCACCATCATCCAGCTCCCTTGTCAGTAAACTCACAGGACCTACTCCCCACGATAGCTTCCATTCAGGAGGTGACATCACCATCATCCAGCTCCCTTGTCAGTAAACTCACAGGACCTACTCCCCACGATAGCTTCCATTCAGGAGGTGACATCACCATCATCCAGCTCCCTTGTCAGTAAACTCACAGGACCTACTCCCCACGATAGCTTCCATTCAGGAGGTGACATCACCATCATCCAGCTCCCTTGTCAGTAAACTCACAGGACCTACTCCCCACGATAGCTTCTATTCAGGAGGTGACATCACCATCATCCAGCTCCCTTGTCAGTAAACTCACAGGACCTACTCCCCACGATAGCTTCCATTCAGGAGGTGACATCACCATCATCCAGCTCCCTGAAATAAGAACAGTTTTCTCTCATCCTCAATTATCCAGTGTGTGAGCCATCTTTCTATTATGACCAACACCCTGGACCTACTCCCCACGATAGCTTCCATTCAGGAAGTGACATCACCATCATCCAGCTCCCTTGTCAGTAAACTCACAGGACCTCAGCGCTCATGGAAGTATTTTGAGTGGCCGACTATTTTTGTTGTTGCCTATTTCTCAAAACAAAGCTACAGCAGTCAATATTATTTATCTTATTTGATAGAATTGAGATAAAATGTTAGATAAGATACTTTGGATTCCCAAGGATGTTTTATTGTTTGAAGACAATATGTATGTCCTTGTTCTGTTAGCTAGTTTCTGGGGAAATATAATACATAAAGCAGTTTAATAACGGCATGATTTATCAATACCAGGGTAACTAAAAAGCAATTTATAAACTAAGCGACCATGGTCTTCAGTATAAATCACCCGAACAATCCTATCATGGCTTTCACTTACCTAATACACATTTTTTTACACGTGTTTAAAAATAGTTTATCTTTTCAATGACAAACATTGAAAATCTGTATCTCATTTCTGAGCTTATCATATTCTACCCTTGCAGTAAATCTCTTTACCCAGGTTTTCTGACAAGCCACACAAAACAGTGGCCATTTCCAGGTTTCATGTAGCTTCTTGACAAAGGAACCATCAGTTGTCTCCCACTACCATACAAAAGAAGTATTCAAACATGGTTTTGCTGCAAACAATTTAAAAAAATAAACAGACATTTGATTGATTTTATTGTGTCTTGTAGAAGGGGCCTTTGCATACAATGACTAAAATTTAGGCTATTTTTTTTTGAAAATGTAACTGAGGAAGAGTTATATTCAGAGACTTCATCACATGCTATGAAGAATTATGTATTACCTGTGCAAATTGTATTAATTTTGATAATCTATTTGTAAGGGACTTTCAACATTATTTCACGATGAAGATATTCCATAAATACAAGTTCTTGAACTGATTCTAAATATTACCATGATTACCCATAGTCCTTGTTTTTCAGAAAACATAGAAAAATGTGGGTACACTGAGCAAACCTTGGCCACCCAATCTCAATGAAATATATGTGGGTTCTTTAGCCAATCTGAAGTAATCTTTCTAAAAAAAATCGTCTTAATTGTTTTACCACCTTGATTGGTAAATTTTGATTTTAGTAAAAGAAAACCTCAACAGAACTCAATATACAATTGATGGTACACCCATTTGGATGTCAATGCCATGTTGCTCATGATGTAGAACACAAACATAATATAATTGCACAGCTATTTTGTTTGCATTAAAAAATTCCTGATTAAAATTGTTTTATGGTACATAAATTAGATATGTTTGTCTGAATGTTTTGCTCACTCGTACTGAGAATTTAGAAGCCTTAATGCTGACTGGCTGGTCAGAAAGTTCACCTAAAATTTCTACCTGCCCTACCTGCGGCTTTAAAAATATTTGATAAGAAACAAGTTTTTTTTATGTTGCTCTGTGTGAATGTTTTGGTTTTCTCTAAGTAATAAATTCCTATGATATGTTGCCTGGTGTGATTGATGTATTTGATTTTAAAAACTTTAGGGATTATATTTTCTTCAACTCAGGTTTTTATATCCCTAGAAATTTGTGTATCCCGTGCGGAATAAATTATTTGACAACGATTGGAACTTGATGAGACACATTATTTTGACATAAACATCCAAAAGAAATTAAAGTGCATTGATTTTTCAGCCAAGCATGGGGATTACTGACTGGTGTCAAGTTTTCACTGTGAACCATTGCTAATATGATTAAGTCACATGTTCATCGTTAAGATTGATCAGTAGTGTGAAGAGCATGTCCCTACTTAATTACAAAGAGTTGCCATGGTGATTTGGGGAAGACTGTGAGATCACTAGGGGGTATTTCCTAGCTTGCTGTGTCATATTGAATTTGAATTGTGACTTGATTGAAGAACTGAGGCACACAGAAATTGTGCATAGTAATTAATTAGTGTTGTTTGTTTTTCTTGTGAAACTAACATACACATTCTCGGTCACACGGTGTAAATGGGTTTCTTTTTTAAATGTTTTTTCAAAATATTTTCAGATGTTTCATACTTGATAAAATTGTGAACTCGTACAAGAAGAACTCATTTAGATGGCAATTTCAGTTTTATTACATTGTAACCCATCTCCTGTGGTTTTAAAGGGGCAAAACACCCTCACCTCACTCAACAACTTACTTTTATGTTCATACTGATGTGTGACCTTAGTATTTGAGCTGGGACGAGTCCAAATTTACACTCCGGGTACCCGACCCCTATTACCCGACCCTACCTAGGTACCCACTGTAGGTCTCAAGAGTTGGGTACAAAATGTCCTATTTAGAATTGTTTACCGGACCTCTGTCAAAAGGTTTTTAGATACATATATAAAACAATCCGATCATAATACACTGAAGTTGACTGAACTGTATCTTTATTCCAAACATATCAAAGTCAGAAGGAATGCGCATAGAGTCAGAAATATATGCAAACATTAGCGACTTGTAGGCAACATTGGTGTTATAGTAGTGAATTTTTCTCATTAGACAATATATCACATGACTAACCATGGGTCCTAGTAGTCCTGTGGGTACCCGAGTCCTACTCAGTACCCGTCCCAGCCCTACTTGTATTCCTTGTGCTGCTGGTGTGTCCTCTGTTACTAGTTCTGAGTACTTTCTATTAAGTTGCTTGGAAGATTTCAGTTCCCTAAAATACCATGATATAAGAGGCGACTAAATGTATTAGGTGGTCAGGCTTAGTGATTGTTGATTGCTTGTCATTGTATCCCACGTTGCATGTTAATCACTGGATTGTCTGGCGCAGACTTAATTATTTACAGACTGTCATCATATATCTGGAATGAGGCATGAAATACAAAAAAATCTTCTTTTTTTTGTTGAAAATCACGAAAATGATGTTCATGATTCAGGGTAATTGCTTCTATTGTTCCGTGATCCTACCTTAACTTGTGTCAGTTTTCACAAATCTCGCTCAGGCATTCTCATGTTATTGGCTGACCACCCCTGATTGTCCAATGTGCTTGGTGACAGGTGTCAATTATTCAGGTAAATCTATAATCAAGCCATCCAGCTTTATGGATATTCGGAGCAACTAGCTAATTAAAATAGGAACTTGGGGCAAGCTAAACAGTTCATTATATGTGATATATATTGACATATTTGGCATGCAGGGTAAAACAGTGATTTTTCTGACATAATCTTGAATAACTATTGCCTGAAGCTTGGTATTCAGTTATTGCACTTCAAGTCAGTTCTTTTTTATTTTCCTGGCACGGTTAAAATTGAAACGATTCAAAATAGGTTCCAGTGTCTGAAGGCACACTTAGAAATAATATTTGACATGACAGTCAATCCCTCGTGAAATTTTTATTAAATAAGGCTGGAGATAAATAAATATGCTTTACGTGAATAAACGTGACAAACATATTGCACAGGATGACTTATGAAGACAATTAATCCACATTGACGCAATTGGTTAGTGTGTGCAGCACCCACCCCCCTATTACCCGACCCGGGTACCCACTGTAAGTCTCAAAATGTCCAATCTCATTAAAATCAGACCTTAGTTCTTGCTACCGCTAAACAAAGATCTGAAGACATCCCAATAGGGGTCACGTCAGAACGACCTTTCATCCGACCAATCAGAGCGTCACTGAAAAGTGACAGTCGGAATGTGATTTCTAATCATACAACCTTGAAAACATTAACACGGGATATTCCGAACGATAGTTACGGGTTGAACGACTGAGTCCATACAATCTAGACCATCTATTAGCCATTCCAGAATGTTCTTTTGTTCAGGTTTCAAATTTGTAATCAAGAATTTGTCAAAATATATTTCGAAGCGTAGTCAACAATTGGAAATTAGTGCCGTAAAGCACGAGAAAGCTGCCTTCTGATTGGTCATTCCATTGGTCGGTCAAAGTTCGCGCAAGATTGGTCTGACGTGACCCGTAATGGAATGTCCTCAGATCTTTGTTTAGCGGTAGCGAGAACTAAGATCTGATTTTTATGAGATTGCAAAATGTCCGATTGTGAAACGTTTGACCGTACTCGTGTCAAAATGTATTTAGATACAGGTATAAACCAATGCTGTCATGCATACACTGAAGTTGATTGAAGTTTTATCTTTATGCAAACATATTAAGTCAGAAGGAATGTGTGCATTGTCGGAAAGAAATGTGAACATTTGTCACGTATAGTGTAACCATAGAGTTTTAAATAATTTTTGCCATTAAACAATATAATCATGTGACTAACCACGGGTCTGGGTAGTTCTGTGGGTACCCTGGTCCTACTCAGTACCAACCCGACCCGAGTACCCACGTTACCCGTCCCAGCCCTACAATGTACACATTTTAGGGGATTAGTTGTTTTACTTTATACTGTAAGATTTAAAATATGTGATTTCAGGTTGCCAGGGGTAACTGTTTTCTCAACATTGAGGGTGGCCCACATCGAGGAACCACCTGTGTTCTCTATGCCCTGAAGAAATTTACAGGGGGCCTTGGTGATGACGATGACAGGGAAAAGGGTGATAACTTCACATGGAAAAAATACTTTACTCAGGTATGTCACAGTTGCTTTGCAGAAAACTACTACTGGTAATTTTGAACTGAATTTCTTTTAATTATCTTAATTTTTCAGATCTACTTGTTAAGAAATATTCAGTAGTAGAATGCCACCAGCCTATCTAACTATCATCATAATGTGGCTAGAACCATGGATTTCGGAAAGGGATATTCAAACTTAATATTTTGCAATACATCTACCTCTAATGTTGTGGCCACAAGGAAAGCCAATGGGGAGGCAGCACATCTCAGCTGCACTATGATTGGGTGTATATGTATGTTTTCAGCCAATAGAATCTACCTCTAATGTTGTGGCCACAAGGAAAGCCAATGGGGAGGCAGCACATCTCAGTTGCACTATGATTGGGTGTATATGTATGTTTTCAGCCAATAGAATCTACCTCTAATGTTGTGGCCACAAGGAAAGCCAATGGGGAGGCAGCACATCTCAGCTGCACTATGATTGATGGTGAATATGTCCTTTGTGGAGGATCCAAGAACGTCCATCTACTATTTAGAAGAAAATGTGAGTCTCAATATGATTATTTAGAATGACCAATTAATATTATTGTTGATAAAATTTGGAATAAACTGTTAAACAATTATTGAGTGGTATGTGACATGAATATACCGTGATGTATGGCTCATTGTATCAAGCTATACAATTTCCAAATATCTTTTGTTCTTACTGTATTCATAGGACATGTGAAACCTCACTTTCAACAACATGTTATAGTTTCAACCTTGAACTTGGACTTGTACGCTGTCCGATCTAATCAGACAGTCACATTTGTTGTCACTATGCCAGTATGAAGGTATGAAAGAAGACTTATGCCATGGTGTGTTTTGCTTCCTTACAGTTGCAATGGGAAACTAGTTGACATGCCCAATAATACAGACTGTCTTGGGCAGTCAGCACACATCTTCCCAAGGCAAGAGAGTTAACTGATTTAAAAGTCCTATTTCCACCCTTGCCAAACTAGCTACTTTCCATGAACCTAAGGAAACGGGCAGAAAATATCTGTTCCTTTCGAACAGTTCTTGAAAAAGACATTCTTAAAAGCATTGCGATTTATCAGTGCTTCTGTAGCCTACTTGTACGGTCACTGTGCTACAGATACAAAGGTTGCGTGTTGGATCCTCGGGTATATGAAGAAAACATTTGTCATTTGATTTTAAATTACATTACATGTTACAACCTGAACGGAAGTTGTTTTAATAAAATACCTGGGATATTATAACACATTATATAGCAAATAAGCCTGGAGTATCCAATAAAATCCTGGGGACATTACAGCATCCATGTTTGTGAGATTTAACTCAACTGGAGAAAAGGATGACGTCACTGGAGGTTTAGATCATCTTGACTGGGTGCCACCATTTTGTTTGAAACAGTTCCATGTGACATGAGAGGTGGAATCAAACAGAGGGACACAGATGGGACGTAATTTGTAATAGCCACTGGTGGCACTACGATCGAGCCTAGAACTTAACTGCCTTGCCTCGGGAAGATGGTTTTTCAGTTACTTTTACTGAAAGGATTATCCTGTAGTACTGTAATAGGGCTCTGTTGTGTTATAATTTCAGGTGCCAAAGACGGTCATATTCCAGTGTAAATTAGTAAATACAATACTGCATTGCCAGCTTGTCTCACAATACAATACTGCATTGCCAGCTTGTCTCACAATACAATACTGCATTGCCAGATTGTCTCACAATACAATACTGCATTGCCAGATTGTCTCGCAATACAATACTGCATTGCCTGATTGTCTCACAATACAATACTGCATTGCCAGATTGTCTCACAATACAATACTGCATTGCCAGATTGTCTCGCAATACAATACTGCATTGCCAGATTGTCTCACAATACAATACTGCATTGTCAGCTTGTCTCACAATACAATACTGCATTGCCAGATTGTCTCACAATACAATACTACATTGCCAGATTGTCTTACAATACAATACTGCATTGCCAGCTTGTCATACAATACAATACTGCATTGCCAGATTATCTCACAATACAATACTACATTGTCAGCTTGCCTCACAATACAATACTACATTGCCAGGTTGTCCCACAATACAATACTGCATTGCCAGATTGTCTCACAATACAATACTACATTGACAGCTTGTCTCACAATACAATACTGCATTGCCAGATTGCCTCACAGTACAATACTGCATTGCCAGCTTGTCTCACAATACAATACTGCATTGTCAGCTTGTCTCGCAATACAATACTACATTGTCAGATTGTCTTACAATACAATACTACATTGCCAGATTGTCTCACAGTACAATACTGCATTGCCAGCTTGTCTCACAATACAATACTGCATTGTCAGCTTGTCTCGCAATACAATACTACATTGTCAGATTGTCTCGCAATTCAATACTGCTTTGCCAGATTGTCTCACAATACAATACTGCATTGCCAGCTTGTCTCACAATACAATACTGCATTGCCAGCTTGTCTCACAATACAATACTGCATTGCCAGCTTGTCTCACAATACAATACTGCAATGCCAGCTTGTCTCGCAATACAATACTGCATTGCCAGATTGTCTCGCAATACAATACTGCATTGCCAGATTGTCTCACAATACAATACTACATTGCCAGCTTGTCTCACAATACAATACTGCATTGCCAGATTGTCTCGCAATGCAATACTGCATTGCCAGATTGTCTTGCAATACAATACTGCATTGCCAGCTTGTCTCACAATACAATACTGCATTGCCAGATTGTCTCACAATACAATACTGTATTCAGGGATGTGAGCAGGTTTTCCTGAAAAAAGAGGAAAAGTCTAGGGGGGTCTGGGGGCATGCCCCCCCAGAAATCTTTAAAACATTTGATTGCATTTTAAGCAATTTCGTGCAGTTTGGACAACATTCACACCAAGAAATGTAATAAGTCAATGGCCAAAGTCAATAAGTCAAATAAACAAGATGGCAGATGCAGTAAAATTTTGAAGTTAAATCAGTACTTTTAAAAAATTGGGCATAGCTTTCGCGCACCTGGCTACCCGCCAGGTCTGGGAGCAATACTGCCATAAACTTCAACCCCCATCCGCCAGACACAAGGACAACTGTCACAAGCGTGCAATGTCTGACCTTTTCCCCATGTTGAAGCATATTGAAAAAAACTTACCTTGTACTTACCTTTTGATGTAAAAAACAAAACTCCATTGCAAACATAAGACATTAATACAACATATATCCCCATGACATGGGGTTTTGGACGCTGAAGAAACATTCATAGTTTTCTCACTTATCACATGAACAACTGTAAAACATCTCATTCACTTACAGGCTAAAAGACAACTTTATCTTAAAAACAAGCCATCAGCTGACTCTGAGTATTTACAATTTCTGTGTGACGCCACACCCCATGTTATAGTGCAAGTATTCGTGACAGAACATGTATGATGTCCGAAAACCTATGCTGGTGAAAGCTCTGATCGAAAACAGGACAATCCGCGCCAACTGTCCAGTTTTCGATCATATTTTTCGGAGTGTTTTTTTTTTTTAAATTTATTAAATTTTTACGCGGAAGATGATTCTTTCCGAGGACAACTGTTTTAAAAAACGCGATTTTCCGCGTTTCCGCGGAGATTTCACATCCCTGTGTATTGCCAGCTTGTCTCACAATACAATACTGCATTGCCAGCTTGTCTCGCAATACAATACTGCATTGTCAGATTATCTCACAATACAATACTACATTGTCAGCTTGCCTCACAATACAATACTACATTGCCAGCTTGTCTCACAATACAATACTGCATTGCCAGATTATCTCACAATACAATACTGCATTGCCAGATTGTCTCACAATACAATACTGCATTGCCAGCTTGTCTCACAATACAATACTGCATTGTCAGCTTGTATCGCAATACAATACTACATTGTCAGATTGTCTCACAATACAATACTACATTGCCAGATTGTCTCACAGTACAATACTGCATTGCCAGCTTGTCTCACAATACAATACTGCATTGTCAGCTTGTCTCGCAATACAATACTACATTGTCAGATTGTCTCACAATACAATACTACATTGCCAGATTGTCTCACAATACAATACTACATTGTCAGCTTGTCTCGCAATACAATACTACATTGTCAGATTGTCTCACAATACAATACTGCATTGCCAGATTGTCTCACAGTACAATACTACATTGCCAGCTTGTCTCACAATACAATACTGCATTGCCAGATTGTCTCACAGTACAATACTGCATTGCCAGCTTGTCTCACAATACAATACTGCATTGCCAGATTGTCTCACAATACAATACTGCATTGCCAGCTTGTCTCACAATACAATACTGCATTGCCAGATTGTCTCACAATACAATACTGTATTCAGGGATGTGAGCAGGTTTTCCTGAAAAAAGAGGAAAAGTCTAGGGGGGTCTGGGGGCATGCCCCCCCAGAAATCTTTAAAACATTTGATTGCATTTTAAGCAATTTCGTGCAGTTTGGACAACATTCACACCAAGAAATGTAATAAGTCAATGGCCAAAGTCAATAAGTCAAATAAACAAGATGGCAGATGCAGTAAAATTTTGAAGTTAAATCAGTACTTTTAAAAAATTGGGCATAGCTTTCGCGCACCTGGCTACCCGCCAGGTCTGGGAGCAATACTGCCATAAACTTCAACCCCAATCCGCCAGACACAAGGACAACTGTCACAAGCGTGCAATGTCTGACCCTTTCCCCATGTTGAAGCATATTGAAAAAAACTTACCTTGTACTTACCTTTTGATGTAAAAAACAAAACTCCATTGCAAACATAAGACATTAATACAACATATATCCCCATGACATGGGGTTTTGGACGCTGAAGAAACATTCATAGTTTTCTCACTTATCACATGAACAACTGTAAAACATCTCATTCACTTACAGGCTAAAAGACAACTTTATCTTAAAAACAAGCCATCAGCTGACTCTGAGTATTTACAATTTCTGTGTGACGCCACACCCCATGTTATAGTGCAAGTATTCGTGACAGAACATGTATGATGTCCGAAAACCTATGCTGGTGAAAGCTCTGATCGAAAACAGGACAATCCGCGCCAACTGTCCAGTTTTCGATCATATTTTTCGGAGTGTTTTTTTTTTTTAAATTTATTAAATTTTTACGCGGAAGATGATTCTTTCCGAGGACAACTGTTTTAAAAAACGCGATTTTCCGCGTTTCCGCGGAGATTTCACATCCCTGTGTATTGCCAGCTTGTCTCACAATACAATACTGCATTGCCAGCTTGTCTCGCAATACAATACTGCATTGTCAGATTATCTCACAATACAATACTACATTGTCAGCTTGCCTCACAATACAATACTACATTGCCAGCTTGTCTCACAATACAATACTGCATTGCCAGATTATCTCACAATACAATACTGCATTGCCAGATTGTCTCACAATACAATACTGCATTGCCAGCTTGTCTCACAATACAATACTGCATTGTCAGCTTGTATCG